TGGCCAGATCTGTGCCTTGCCACAATTCTGTCTCTGAGCTCCTTGGGCAGTTCCTTCGACCTCATGATTCTCATTTGCTCTGACATGCACTGTGAGCTGTAAGGTCTTATATAGACAGGTGTGTGCCTTTCCTAATCAAGTCCAATGAGTTTAATTAAACACAGCTGGACTCCAATGAAGGAGCAGAACCATCTCAAGGAGGATCAGAAGAAATGGACAGCATGTGAGTTAAATATGAGTGTCACAGCAAAGGGTCTGAATACTTATGACCATGTGATATTTCAGTTTTTCTTTTTTAATAAATTTGCAAAAATTTCTACATTTCTGTTTTTTTCTGTCAAGATGGGGTGCTGAGTGTACATTAATGAGAAATAAAATGAACTTTTTTGATTTTAGCAAATGGCTGCAATGAAACAAAGAGTGAAAATTTTAAAGGGGTCTGAATACTTTCCACACCCACTGTATGTATATATATATATATATATATATATATAGCCCTAAATCACATCCTAATAGATGTGGTGGCTGTGTTTGTGCAGGTAACATCTTTGTCTTTTGAGATATTATAAAGTGTTTTCTAATATAATTGACTAAATATGATATTCCCTACAAAATGTTATTGAATTAGATATCAAATGTATATAACTGCTTAAAACCAATTAATTATGTTACAAAAATGAAATAAATAGCTCTTTACTCTTTAGCACCCTCTACAGCCCACTGTGAGTCAGTTGCAAATACTGATTGAATAACTCACATTTATTAATGCAATATAGGGTGTATTTTAAATTAATGTACATTCTATTATTGAACAAGTAATTTGCACACACACACACACACACACACACACACACACACACACAAATATATTGTACTACTGTTCCCAGTGTCATGCCTCCTCTTCCCCTTTTGAAAGAAGTGGATGATACACAGTTATACACGGTGCAGCAGTCTATGATTCATTGACAAAACTGGTCTTTGCTATGAGCCATCACTGAACTCTTCCCCTTCTGGTGTGGTCAACCAGAGTTACAGAATTTGTCTCATGTCAAAGTGTGGGGAATATTTTGGTTTGGTTTCGATGGTCTGGCTGTTGGCAGAGTCCCAACTTAGTGACAGCTAATCACGTGTCTAAAAGGCATGACCACTTGGATGTTTATGTATGCGAACAGAAACCATCTTATTTCTATTACAAAAGGAGAAATTAGGGCCAGTACGGCACATTGTTAATCCCTGGACTTCATATCCTCAATTTTTTGTTTTTGTTGGCATGGGGACTACAGTATTTCTGAAATTTTGTACTTGTACTTGTATTGATGCCCAACTACCTGCCCTCTGATCCTGGGGAACTTTTGGGACCCTCAAGGTCTGTGGGTTCCGTGGCAGTTGCCTATTTTTCCCAGCTGGTAATCCAGCCATGATGTATATCCCTCCTGACTCTGACAAAAGCATTGACGACAACCCCGGAGGAGCCTGAGGAGGCAGCACAATGCCTTTGCTTCCCCTTTTGCAAGAACTGGATGATGCACAGTTCTGCATACTGCCGCATTTTAGGAATCACTAACTAAAGCAATATTAGGCTCTATCCTATGAGCCATCACTGAACTATTTCCCCTCTGGTGTGGTCAGCCAGAGTTACAGTTTATTGACAGCTAATCATGTGTATACCTGCAATGCTAGTTGTTTATGTATGTTTATGTATCCAAACAGAAACCGACTTCTTATATCTATATCATAATAGGAGCATTCAGGACCAGTACAGCTCATTATTATTATTATTATTATTATTATTATTATTATTAATTATTAATAATAATTATTCATCACTGGACTTCATATAAACCCAATTTAAAGATTAATTTTACTCTTATGTTGGCATGCGGACTCCACTACAGTGTTATTTCTCCTTTCTGGTCCTATCTGTTTTTGAGGAGTCACTTAAGTGGCTTTCAAATGTCAGTATTATGAAATTGGGACCGATACATACCAGAGGGAGGGGTCTGACTAGAAGAGAAACGGTTAAACATGCTTCATACAAGTGGGGGAATTTTCTTTCCAGAATCATGCATTAGATATGGGCCACATAGATCTTTAGATCTTGGAAAATAATCTGACATAGCACTTCATTTATTATCATCATCATTATATTTTTATCATCAATGTTAGTAAAGTAGTAGTATCAGTAGTCAGTACATCAGTCCCATCTGCGGTACAGTAACATTGCCTTTATCTATTTTGTTTTTTTGTTAACTTATCCACAACCAATGTATCTCTGTATGTTCAGTTGATGACCTCTGCATAATGAAGACATCACGGTCTGTCCAAATAAACTTCAGGATGATTTGCCTATTCAAGCTAAGTTCATTTACTGGATGGAGTGTGGTAGAAATTGTGATTTCCTCACTGAGAAGTGAGCAAATAAATGATTGTAACAGTTGTATTTTGTCTATTTAATAAAATAGAATAATAAAAGAAATAAATAGTTCAAAAGAATTACAAAAGTCAATTTGTCTATTTCAGCTCAACAGGGTGCACACGTGGAACAGAGAGCTGTGCTGCCAATTTCAAGAAGACACATTCAAGACTACTTTCCAAAACTTAATTCAATTTTTAAATGTCAAAGTATGAAAATCAAAATGAATTTTTAAAAAAGTGATCTCATTGTTTTGTTGACAAATTTTCCTGGCCAGCCTTGTACCTTTGTCCTCCTTTTCGGCATCCTCTTGTAGGAAATCCAACAGGGCCCCTTTGGAGGTGTGCCTTCTCCTTTGCGGACAGACGGAGGTGGATGGCTCATCATCTGCCTGTCTGGTGGTGACAATACTTGTGCCAGGCTGTACAGACTCCTCCTCACCTGCCTGGCCACTAGTTGTGACTCCACCAGGAGATGATGAGCCACTATTGCTGAAGGCCACACCAGCCAAAATGTAAATATGCTATACTGTTTAATAAACATTCCACGTGAGTTGGCTGACTGAAATGCTTTTGGACATGCACTGAGCTCATAGTCTAACCTTCTACTTTATTTTTAAATTGTCCCACTTTTTATGAAATTAGTCACTTATCGTAAATGATCCATGTGAGGTTTTGGTTTTGAATATAGACTGTGTTTGAATGGTATTTGCAGGCATTTAGTGGCCTTCATTTCAACCAAAACCAGAAAACTAAAATGGTTTAGGAAAGGCTTTAAAAACAGCGATTTAATCTATGCTTTCCTGTATTTGCCGTAGTCCATTTAGTTAGTTTTCTAATTCCAGATTCAACCCTGTAATGCCAAGTGTATCATATTTGATACATGAGTTTTTGAGACATCATCAGTGTGACCTTTTTTTTTTCTCAAAAAACCTGATGTATACAATCAGACACATGCAATGCACGGATAATCCACCAGGGATCAGTAATTCATGCACCAGAGGGATTACTGGGTTAATTTACACACTTGCACCGGTTTGCTTCAAATGCTTTGCAATGCTTAAATTTATATTTAAGCCAATACACAATCAAGTTTTATTGTTTTATTTTAATTTCTTAATTAACATCTTTCCACATGTGTATGACCCCCTTTGGTGTCTAGGAGCTGGGGTCTGTTTCTCAACAGAGGTTAATCTTTTAATTACCACGGAAGTAACTTCATCACATTTTTTGTTTCTTACTGACGTTTGTTTTTTTTTTGTTCCGATTGAAGCTTTTATCTGTTGAGGCCCCATCAGTTTATTTCATTCAATTTTAATGTATTTTACTAAATGATTTACTATTTAACTGTTAACATTTAAATGTGTAAATTGTTTGCTTGGGATAGCTTTCTTTTCATTTTTGCCTTTTCATCAGTCTCAATCAATTATTTTTGTTTTGTTAGATGTAGTTTGATTGTTACATGTACCGTTTTTCATGTGTTTTTGTTGCATGTGTTTTAATCTTTCCAAACCTAAGAATGACCTCTTGGTCTCTAAATTGTGTAGCTTCAAATTATTTTATTCCAATCCAGTCAATATAACTTATTGTTAATAGCATTTTTCCTGTTCTAGTAAGGTGTTTTACTATAGAATGTACAGTTTGTTTTAAACTGCATCTTTTATTTGCATGCTGTAAATTATACAAACATACTTTATTTAAAATTTGACCTAAAGTATAATTTGGTAAGACATAATTTTTTTTGTAAACTACTCTTGCTGATATCTAAACTATAAAAATCATAGTCTCTTCCCATGCAGTGTTAACGGCAGTGCACATTCCCCTTTTGCCCATGTGGTCTCTTCTCTTACAACATACTTGACAAGACACACAGACAGTGACAGGACATAGCTCCTGTGCAGAGTTAATACTACTACTACTACTACTACTACTACTACCAATAATAATAATAATAATAATAATAATAATAATAATAATATTGTGCTTTTACTCACATAGAAATCTTGGATCTCTGTGAAGTCTGCTCTGAGTTGCCTTAACATGCCAGGGAAATCCTCCACGAAATGACAGCACTGGTTGTTGCACATGGGACTGCACCAGACAGTGCAGAAGAAAGATAAGACGACCAAGATGGACAGGAGAAGAGACCGAGGAGTCATGCTGGTGGACAAGCTGCTGAAGTCTTCTGGAGGCAGAGAAGAGAAGAGTGGGCCCTCAGGGTGAAGATGCTGCTGAAGTTTTTCTGACTTCTGACTGGAGGAATCTTGGTAGGGTCTTGCTGAACAGGTCAGAAGAGAAAAATTCATACATTTGGGCTCATCTGTTGTCTTAATTTATAGCCAGATATGAAGGCGGAGACTAACAGGAAAGCCAACATACTTCATACATACAGGGAAATTTTTTTTTATTGCTAAGTCATGAATTAGGTATGAGCCACACCTCCCATGAGATAGGCTGGTACTATTGATAGATCTCAAGAATATTCACCATCAAAAATCATTTATGTATTCTGTATTTTTTCCATTTTAATTATATTATTATAATCAGTGTTATTAAGTTAATAGTATTATTAGTAGTATGACTGCACATATCAGTCCCATCTAAGGTACAGTGACATTGCCTTTATCCACTGAACTAGCACAGATATGGAACTTAAAATAGATACTTAGGTGCAGAAATTATATTATCAAATTGCATTGTGCTGTGTTGTATTAATGTATACAGTGTTTTCTTAATTTACTATAATAATGAGAGAAAGGATGCTTTCAGTCATTTTAAACGTTTCCATGGGCGCAGTATATCACTGCAGCAAATATCATTAAACAGCTAAACTTAAAAACTGTTGACAGAGAAACTCTGTAAAACAGAGGAGGCTGTTTTACTCTGAACAATTTCCCTGTATGAACCTGAACTGTGTGTGGGAACTTCTGGAGGTGTAAAATAACTCAACAAATAACATTAATTAACATTAGATCGTGCGATTTAAATAATCAATGAAGCTGCTGTGCCTCGTGCTTAAATGCACACAGCGTCTCTCTTAATAAGGAAAATCCTCACACTAATTCAGCCTCAATCCATCTGCTGTCAATCACAATGTTATCATAATTTTAACAGATTTATCTCAGCGCCGCAGATTAACTGTCATCTGCCCATCACTTTAATGCAGGTTGTTGTTCATTTGCAGGTGTTTGTTAAACAGGTAACAGGCTGCTACTCTGGCACTGATAACTGTATATCTTTATTAATATTAGTACAGTTCACATGTGTGCAGACACAAACTCGACCAAGAGTCTCTACAGCTGTTAAAGCCGACTGACAGCAAACAAACTGCAGAGTGATACAATCAATGGCGTAGCAAATGGGTGTAGTATTACTAATCCTATCTATCATGTGAAATGTGTTTGTAACAACTTCGTGGATGTGAAATTATTTTTGTTCTCTCTGTGTTATCATCCTGTCATATGTTTCTGATGTGACATTATGACCTGAACTTAACTGAAGTGAAACTAGTTTGTTTACATTTTCAGGTCACAATCCCTTGAGTAAGACAATGTTTTTAACGTCTGCTCTGGAGATGCTTAAGTGCTATTGTGCTGAAGGTGGTGTTTTGCTCTGTAAACTGCACCTAAACTCAGTTTCTGATGTTGTCACTAACCAGTGCTGCAGTCAGCAATATTTACTTATTACTTTGATATGAAATGATAAATGTACCTGGACTTTAATGTAGATGCTGGTAGAGCTTTGCATGATCATCTTGACTGTGAAAACTTTGTGCTTTGCAGACCAGATGAGCTGCATGGTGAACTATAGTTTTGCCTTTACATTTGCTCCACCTTATGTGTCACATTGTGTGCATCTTGTGTGTCTGCGTAGTGTACTTACTGCTGTCTCCTTTAGAGGAAATCTAACTGTCTTTACAAATAGATTGACCACATTCCTCTTTCACTTTCACATTGGCTGTGTGTTAGTTAGTATTAGTGTTGTGTGTGTATTGTATTGAATCATTCAGAGATATGTTACTGTATTATGATTATTGTTATGTGAACATAAATGATAGTAGTGTGTGTGTGTGTGTGTGTGTGTGTGTGTGGGGGGGGGGGATGCTAATGTCATCTCAAAGGGCTACAAAGAAAAGCTCAAGCTGTTTCCTTCAGTCAGCTCTACCAGGAACCAGTGTCCCTCTACACATCCCTCTCTTAACACTGCCTCCTCAAAACTGGGCCAAAGCTGAATCAGTCAAATCTTATCTTTCATCTATCACTTTGTAAAATTTTTGAGCAACATTCAACAGAAAGTAGTCTGCTCTGGATATAAGTGCTATTGTGCTGAAGGTGGAGTTTTGCTACCTCACTTCCCAAACTCAGTTTCTGATGTCGTCACTGACCAGTGCAGTACATGGACCTTGTGTCATACTGAAGATAACATGATGTATTAATAATAAATCAGTCACTGGTGCCAATTTTCTGCAGTACCTTCACTACATTTTGCTGATAATACTCACATACTTTTACTTGAGTGGGATAATGAATGTAGGACTTTTACTTGTAATTTGTATTTGACACTGTTGTATTGGTACTTTTACTTAAGTACAGGGTCTGAGTACTTCTTCCACCACTGGTTTAGGGTTACTAAGCCTGTCTATCAAGATGCAATTTATTTATAACTGGTTATTTCCCGGTTTCAACACGGATGGTAAAAAAACTGACTACATGACAACTTTCAAAGAAAGGATGTAAGACTGTTTAATTTGGGTGGTTCTCTGTAGTTTAAGTTTCATTTCTTTTTACCATTTGCAGCAAAGTGAAAAAAGAGAGTCTGACAGAGACATCCTGTTTCGCTAAACAGCAGACAGACAGCTTAACAAAGTGTAGGATCCACAGAGTATGAGAACCAAGTGTGTGTACAGTTTTTTTCAGTTTTGTTCTCTGTCTGATTTTCAATTTGATGATATTGCAGAAGTTAACATGATTTGATTTTTAGGTCGCTGACTTGTGAGTTAGAGGACAGGATGTTCCAGTGGAGGCTTCATATCAGCAAGTTAAAGGTCATTGTACCAGACTTCATTTAACTTAAAGTTAGTTTAACAAGTCATAACCAACCTTCCTGCTCCTGCTCCTCCAGCAAATTATGATGTTGGACTGTGTTACATCCTCTAAATTGTGTTGGCTTTGTGTTATAATTGATCACCACTAGATGGTAATACAGAGCAGACTGAAAGGAAACGCTAAAAATGAGTTGGTAACATTAGAGTTTTTTAAAAATGTTTTTATTGATGTTAAAATTATTGTTAAAGTTAAAAAGTAGAAACACATGTACAATACCTTAACAACTTTCTATAAATATCAATACCTAAACATTTATGTTCGTAATTCTAATTATAAATATTGCAATATCAAAAAATTCAGTCCACATGTTAGTGGATAACTCATACATTAAGTTAATTCAAGTACAAAACAAGGAAATGCACAATGGCACAGAGGTGAAGCTAACACATTTCTAACCTTCCCTGTGCTAATGATTAATGTTAGGTTACATTTTCAACTTGGGGGCTCATCAACTGCATGCACCTAACTGTAGTGTTGATTTTGCTCAGCGTCTGTCTGATCATGTGTGTGTTTGATCATGTGTGAGTCCCTCCAGCCAGTCCAGCACAGTGTCCAGTTCTCCCACTGCCTTCTGTGCCGCCTCCTTTATTTCTAGCTGCTCAGAGAGAGAGAGAGAGAGAGAGAGAGAGAGAGAGAGAGAGAGAGAGAGAGAGAAATGGAGAAAGAAAGAAAGCAGATAACACAGATGATTTATTGAGGAGCATAACTGTACAGAAACAATTTTCAGTTTGCTTTGTCTTGTTAGAGTGAGTAGGTTTTGGTTAATGAACGCTGCAGCTGGGGTGCTGCTGAGGAGTCATATTTTAAGCCCATTTGGTCAGACATATGTTACATTAATCCTTGGCACCCTTGCAAGTTTGTCTGATTGTTTTGCATGCCACCTATCAGGATATTCACCAAAAATAGACATATACATTAGCATGTAGCCCTTAACTATTGAAAACCAACTAAGATATTGTTTGTAAAAGTGAATCAAAGTACTCCAGCACCCTCTGCAGTCCACTGTGAGAATGTGGGCCATGAGCTGTTTATGTACAGTGACTTATTCTCTCTACTCCATACCTTGATAAACTCAGCATGTAGGGAGTCAACTGTTCTCTGTGTCTCCTCTGTACAGTGGCAGTGCTGAACACAACAAAATACAATTATTAATACAACTCATTGCTGTTTTTGATTAAAGTACATTTTATCATTGAACTAACTTATTGAACAGCTAACTTACACATTTATGTATATCCTTTCTGATGCTGACAAAAGCGTTGGCCAAAGCGCTGGAGCAGCGTTGATCTTGTGGCTGAGCAGAGGCATAGTTGCTGAACACTCTCTCAACGTAGAAACGTAGCACAAGACGCACGAAACAGCACGTCTGACCGTCCTGATGGAGACACATAAAGGTCAGATTAGAGCACGCTCACATACATACTACAAAGCCTTGATCAGTCTATGACTTAGGGTAGGGGAAAATTAAATGTTTTAAACAGAACATTAGGATAGAAAAAACATAACCAGCTTTACATACAACACAAAGACTCACCTGAACATGATTAATCAGTGATTTCTTCAGGAATTTCACTCCGATCACAGTGTCTCCTGCTATCTGTAATGCAAAGACGACAAAGAACAAGTGAGAATTTCTCTTAAGTTTCTACCCACTTACAGGTGAACAGTTTCTGATATTGTGTTGTGTATTTATGCATGGTAAAGTGATTGCCTGGGTCTGCACGTTGTGCTGAATGAGACAGCTGCATTTGTTGATTTCCATGATTTATCTTAAGTTAGAAGTTTCGAGAGTGTGTCACTATTAAACTTACCACATTTGATCGTATGGTAGAGTAATATTTGCGCAGCTCGTGTGTGTGAACATTGACAGAGCAGCTGTCCAGATGCAGAGTTCGGCTTTCTATGAGTTCACTCAGACAGCTGAGCAGGAGGACCAGGCAGAGAGAGCGGCTGAGTATCATCTTCATCACTGAGGTTATTTGGTGGGAGAGTTAACAGAAGCATTGTGTTTGTTAAAATCTCTAAAGATCAATTGTTACACAGTAGGTAAAGGTTAATCTAAGTTTTGTATGAATTATTTATCATTCTGTTTAACATATTTTTAATTTTCTTATTCTTGACCATTTAGGAATTGTTATAAAATGTCAATTGTCTCATTGTTTCACCAGAGAAGGTGATGTCTTTATAAATCTTGTTTTTTCCTGAACCACATCCCCAAAAAATTATAGATACTCAATGATTTAAAAAATAGATAAAAGCAGCAAATCTACACATTGCTGGAACCAGCAAATGTTTGTCATTCACCTAATATTATAGTGATTTACATAGCAATTCAGTATGCGTTTGGAGCACATGGAAAGCATTTTAAAATTCCATTTGCATTTATTCTCTCATCCTAGTTGACTTTCTTATCCTGCTTTTAAATCTAAGGCAAGCAGCAATCATCCACCACCATGACACTGACCAGCACCACCTATGATTAGACTCACCTGTGTGTGTGTTAGTCAGAGGAAGTCCTGGGAAAGATGTGCCTCTATGTCTCCATGCCGACTTCTCTTATAGTGGAGTGAGGGGGATTTTTACCAGGCATTGCAAAGCTTACACAGACACACACACGCACACATGCAACTGCATGTACACGCACACAAATTAGTTTACAGGAGGAGGAAGTGTGCAACAGTTAGAGGAACTACCAGTGGATGTCTCAATACCTGATTGGAAGAAAAGGAAAAGGAATGACTGAAGATTTCCTCCTCCCTGATGTGCATTGTGGCCCTTGTAGAGAAACACCTTCGCTGTCAGTGACGTGTTGTGTAATTATTTCATGACTCATTCACTAGATTAGGATGTCGTCATTCCTCTGCAGCGTTAATTTATTAAGCTGTGCGTTCCTTGTTATGGGCCTACTGACTCCATCTTTTGACTAATGATCTTTTAAAATGTCTATTGTTTTAGGGTGTATGTTAATGCACCAATATGAGTTTGTATTTGTGTTCTTGTGGACTTCTAATCACTGTGTCTGCTCTCAAATGTCAAATGTTGGATAACTGTCTTCAGCTGTATACTGGAAATAAAACCTCCCACAGCACAGTGTAATCTGGCAGTGACTTCACTCCTGTCAGACGAGTCCTGATCAGAAACACTTACCGGACCTGCTTGTCAGTCCAGGTTAACTTTTGATGACTGCTCAAAATTTACTGAGCAGGGAAGTCCAATGTAAACAGGAACAACCCATAAAAAAAAAAGGCAATCAATCACATCTATAGCAATTGCAAAAACTGTAAATGACATTTCGGTCCAGGAAGTGTGCCTGTCAGTATCTGTAGTATAAATAGCTGACAGCACTTCACTGCTAAGGAATGTTTAATGCTTGTTTCTAACCACTAGAGGTCATCACAAAGCTTTTTGGACCTGGAAAAAACCTCCAAGTCACCAATTTCTGACTCTGTTGCACTGTTTCAGCAGCTGGTAAATATATCAGCTACTGGTCTAAGATATTTCTGTTCATATTATAAACCCGCTTTACCGCTGTTCCTCTAACCCGCTTTTACACAAGCTGCATCTTTGTTTTCTCAAAAGAACAGAAAACATGTCGTAATTGTGTAGACTGTACATACGTATGTCAGCTAGAGGTTTGTTTTTCTATGTTTCTAATTCTGATCTGATATCTAAATTTCCTGTGACATAAGCTGTGTTGGCGATGCAGAGTTACCAGTGGAGCTTATACTGGATGATGAGAAAATCTCAAAAATGTAATTTGTTATTTCAATTAAAATAAACATCAAACATGATCAAATGATAAAAGAAAAAGTTTTATTTTCCATTATTTGTACAAAGCTTCTTTATACAGAAGAATAATATACAGAAGACTAAGAATAAAAAGAATAAAATGACATTTGTACATGGAGTACCTTGAAAATCACAGGCTCATTTGGGACAGTTTCAACTACATGGTAGTTATGTTTTAAATTGGTTCTTCTGACATCCATTGCAGGTTGTTGTTTATTGTCCTTGGTGGCAGTTCTACTCATCTGCCAGTTAACATAACTACCCTCTATATCTGTAGCATGTCTGTCAATGTACCTGTATTTTCAGGCATTACTCATTTTTTTGCATTGTAATTTAATAAACAAAGAATGACTGATAAACTGTAACTCCTACGAAAACCTAGCCCTAAATGTCGGTATACTCACTCTGTAGATTCAATGTTCTGACTCTCGTGAATCTGGCAACAATGAAACTTAAACCTAAAAAGCTTGAACTATCAAAGCTTCACGATTGTTTCATTTATTTGGAGTTCCACTGAGGATATACCGTGTGCTCCACTGAGCATGTTCTGTCTTAAAGTCAGTTTGTACTGTGTGTAGTTTGTGTATGTGTGTGTGTGTGTGCGTGTGCGTGCGTGCGTGTGCGTGCGTGCGTGCGTGCGTGCGTGTGTGTGCGTGTGCGCGCGCCCTCAGGCCTTTAGGCACAGTTCTCCTAAAAGACAATAGAGCGAAGGTGTCTGAAGCACATGATGACATCCAGAGGGATGGGGGGGCTCAGGTGATTTCCATCCAAACGCAGGTACCTGACACAACAGAATGCGCACTTAACTTAATGCCCTCACATTGACTTACATAATTATTTTTTTTCCTATTTACTTCCTGCCAAAACATGCCACTGCCCCAGTTTGTATTGTTGAGTGCCAAGATGTGACATAATGTGACGTACCTTAGTTTAGGAACCAGGCTGTCATCGCTCAGGTCGGCCAGCAAATTGAATGGGCAGAGCAGGGTGCCATTGATGCCTGTCAGGAAAACACACAGTCATGAATGCCTAATCCTCAAATGTTGTTTTCTTTCAAACAGGCAAGAATTTTAAGAAATCTGCCAATTGAATAGGATTATTTTGCTTGTAAATCAGATGTAAGATGTAAGAATGTAAATCAGGCAAGCAAACAAATGGGGTCAAACCAGTGAAGTAATGCAGGCTATATGCAGGTATACTATACTATATACTATTGGTTATACCCACTTCTAAATCCCCTCTCATGAACACCATTCGGTAGTGTTCTGTTGGCTGAATTTCTTCATTTCTAGGATAGTAAAGGCATGACATCGTTGTCCAATCTTAAAGAGTAAATAGGAAGTAGTAAGGAATAAGGAATACTTATTCAATTATTTGTACAAAGCTTCTTTAAAGAGAAAAATAATATACAGAAGACTAAGAATAAAAATAATAAAATGACATTTGTACTTTATTTCTAGGATAGCAAAGGCATGACATAGTTGTCCAATCGTAATGAGTAGAAAGAGTAAGGAATAAGGAATACTTATTAATTTCATGAATTTCAAGTGACAATGTGTAAAGATTACTGGCCCGTTTTGGGGTAAAATATATTTATGTATTAGTAGTCCTGTCACTGTTTATAACACATAAACTTTACTTTATCTTTATTCCTTACTGTACAGGCCTCTTTAAAAAAAAAAAAAACTTGGGGCATAAATAAAGAGTATACCCACTTCTCCAGTTACCACTACATCACTGGATCAAACTTTATAGCAGGAATAAAAAAAGAAATCAGACTAGAGAACAAGGAAAAATTAATATAATGCAATTATCATCGAACCGCCTAACCTTTCACATCTGAACATTGATTTAAAGCATGTTATTGACTCTGTGAGCCTGAGGCAAAGCTTTGCCATCCCGCCAGCAAAAACTTGTTTGTCTTGTTTAGTCTCACACAGGAATACTCTTAACAGAGCTGCCTGAAAAGCTGTTGGCTGCTGGCTCGCATAGGAACGTAAACATGAACCAGCCACTGCAAAGCCCTAAAAGTAACACAATCAAGTAAGATTATGTAGACAGAAGAGACATGCAGCAGGTCAAACCCAGGCTGCTACAGCAAGGAATCAGCCTTAGTACATTGGATGTGTGCTCTACCAGGTGAGCCCCACTAACTTCTGAGATAAATTAAGTTAGAACTACCTACATTGACAGAAACCAAAATGTATCAGATGTATACTTATTTTTTAGTTTGGCTTTTGTCCCATCCATCGACACGTAGGGCGCAGGGTTCATGACGTATACTGCCAACAACAGTACCGCTATGGCAGTAAAACTTACACCTTTCTCATTGTAATTCTCACATGGTGTTTGGTGACCTCATGTAATTCCCAGCATAAGCCAACATCAAGCTCAGTAGAGGTCTAGTCAGAAGAAATCTGTGGGGGGTATGCACTTGTGACTTGAATAAAAATACATTTACAGCATTACAACATTAAAGCTGCATTAATGTGTTTTTGTCCCCTTGGGGCAGCATTTATCTGAGATCTTTTTTATACTAATAACAGCTGCCTTGCTGAAAGAAATGAGGTTGATGACAGCACTGACAAATCAAAGCAGTAAAAGTGTGGGCTGTAAAACCAAAACAATGAGCTGAAACAATGCATGGAAACTGCTGAGTCAGGTTATAATTCTTTGCGGCTTTGTCACTGTGAGCTTTTTACATTGCATGCCAGTAGTCATTTGATCCATTGTTATTAAAAATATATTGATTACTACAGCTTTAAGTACAATGTCTTATAAAGTTGAGTCTGTCGGACATACTTCTGCTAGCTCTTACAAATCCCTCAGGTGGTGCTGATTGCTGCTGAGATAACTTACTCTCGATGCTGTTGTGGTTGAGGTGCAGGTGCTCCAGGTGACTGTTGAAGAGAGGAACGGAAGCGAGCTGGTTGTGGGACAGTTGCAGGTCCAGCAGGGTGGATATGTTGAACACAGCCTTGGGCATTCCTTTATCACTCAGCTGGTTGCGGTTCAGCCTCACAAACGCAAGGTGAGTGAAGTCTCTGAAGTAGTCTCTGAACAAGAGAACAATGAATAACATGTTAATTCCCACCAGTGCTTAAAGATACATGATGTGTGTATGTGTGGTCATCAGCTATGTGAAAACGTGTGCACTGTATACTTGCTTTGGGATGTC